TATCGGAAAATGTTCCAGACACAAATTGTAAAACTTAATAGGTTTATATTGCAATGAGCAATTTTTGAGAAAAATTATTAAGCTTCATTACAGCTTCAACTACGGCGATGATTCTTTTTAACAAATTTAAGAGAGAAATAAATTAGTTGAAAGAACAAAAAAGATGGATTGTGATAATAAAAAATTGACAAAAAACATGTTATCGACACTTTTCCCATCTACACGAACTTGTCAGTCGTCTCTGCTGTTGTTGTTAACATAATAAAGAGTTCTCATTAGCTCAGTCTATTAAGATTTCATTAAGACGTGCTCAGTGAGTGATCGGGGTATCACAATGACTCTACCTCCACAGGACAACCCTGACTTAATACATGCTCCAAGCGGAATTCGAAGCCGCGAGTGGCCCCAAACACCGCGAAAACAGCCAATTACGCTACATTATGGCATGGTAGGTACTAATTAAAAATTAATGATAAAGATTAAACTTTGTGTTTTAGATGTGTAAATAAGCAGTCACGAAAAGGATGTAACACTGAGATACAAAATGCTATGTTTCTTTGTCTCTCTTTGCACTCTTCTGCAGCAGAGAAATACTACGGCATAGGAAACGAGCGACTCTGAAACGAAAACAAAATACAAAACTTCCGTTAGCTCTGAACTATATACAGTAAAATACACACGCAAAGACCGACTGAAGCAAAAGTTTACACGCACACGTGGAGACGAACAGGAAAGAATTACGAGCAGTTATCTGTGGACTTGTTCTCGCCCCATTCCAGATGACAAACTTTTCTGCAATTAGTCAACTTGCTCTACTCCAATGCTAGAGAAGTTGCCTAACATTCAAGGCGTTCAAATAGCCTTCCTATGGGTAAGCAAAGATACTGCTTTCGCTGAGACCTGTGTTCATTTTCGTTACATTATTCTGTGACGAATAAGAACGTAATGTTGATGTTATTGTGTCCAATTTATTGGTACCTTCAAACTGACATAATATTTCTGATCTGCTTCGTATTCGGATGGCGTGGATTCAATTTCCAGTTCGGTTTTCTTCAGAATATTGTCTTAAATCTACTAAAATCGCTCAGCGAACAGCAGCGACTACAAATGATCGTCATTTACTGTTCTGTGTTACATCAGCAATTAGCCTATTGGAAAATTATACCG